CAGTTTTGATTTTCTTTCGTTGCGTAGTCTTGACATAGTATTGTAAAAGTACTCAGAAACAACGAACCTTGAAATCATTTTTATCAGTCGTTGTCTAAAATTTTTCACAGATGACACTTTGACAGTTGAATTTCTCTTGTTTGATATGTGGCAGTTCTGAAATTTGATGACAACATCGTTAAGTCACTTTTGACATTTAAATTTGTCCCCGTTATTTCACATACAAAGTTACATTATTGTTTTTGACAAATGACAGTTTATATTTTAAGCATGTTCAAGCTTTACAATTTTTGACAATTAAAGTTTGACATTAAGTTTTCGTTTCTAGTTTACAAATTTATCTAATTATTGAAACTATTGACAGTCAGAAATTTTGACATTTGTTGATTCCATATTTTGACACTTTCTCAACTTTCAATGAACCTTGAAATCATTTTACCATTCGTTGTCTAAAATTGTTCGTAGATGACACTTTGACAGTTGAAGTTCTCTTGTTTGATATGTGGCAGTTCTGAAATTTGATGAGAATATCGTTAAGTCACTTTTGACATTTAAGTTTGTCCTCGTTATTTCACATACAAAGTTACATTATTGTTTTTGACAAATGACAGTTTATATTTTTAGCATGTTCAAGCTTTAAAATTTTTGACAATTAAAGTTTGACATTAAATTTTCGTTTCTAGTTTACAAAGTTTCCTAATTATTGAAGCTATTGACAGTCAGAAATTTTGACATTTGTTGGTTTCATATTTTGACACTTTCTAAACTTTCAATGAACCTTGAAATCATTTTACCATTCGTTGTCTAAAATTTTTCGTAGATGACACTTTGACAGTTGAAGTTCTCTTGTTTGATATGTGGCAGTTCTGAAATTTGATGACAACATCGTTAAGTCACTTTTGACATTTAAATTTGTCCTCGTTATTTCACATACAAAGTTACATTATTGTTTTTGACAAATGACAGTTTATATTTTTAGCATGTTCAAGCTTTAAAATTTTTGACAATTAAAGTTTGACATTAAGTTTTCGTTTCTAGTTTACAAAGTTTTCTAATTATTGAAACTATTGACAGTCAGAAATTTTGACATTTATTGGTTCCATATTTTGACACTTTCTAAACTTTCAATGAACCTTGAAATCATTTTACCATTCGCTGTCTAAAATTTTTCGTAGATGACACTTTGACAGTTGAAGTTCTCTTGTTTGACATGTGGCAGCTCTGAAATTTGATGACAACATCGTTAAGTCACTTTTGACATTTAAATTTGTCCTCGTTATTTCACATACAAAGTTACATTATTGTTTTTCACAAATGACAGTTTATATTTTTAGCATGTTCAAGCTTTGAAATTTTTGACAATTAAAGTTTGACATTAAGTTTTCGTTTCTAGTTTACAAAGTTTCCTAATTATTGAAGCTATTGACAGTCAGAAATTTTGACATTTATTGATTCCATATTTTGACACTTTCTAAACTTTCAATAAACCTTGAAATCATTTTACCATTCGTTGTCTAAAATTGTTCGTAGATGACACTTTGACAATTGAAGTTCTCTTGTTTGATATGTGGCAGTTCTGAAATTTGACGACAACATCGTTAAGTCACTTTTGACATTTAAATTTGTCCTCGTTATTTCATATACAAAGTTACATTACTGTTTTTGACAAATGACAGTTTATATTTTTAGCATGTTCAAGCTTTAAAATTTTTGACAATTAAAGTTTGACATTAAGTTTTCGTTTCTAGTTTACAAAGTTTCCTAATTATTGAAGCTATTGACAGTCAGAAATTTTGACCTTTGTTGATTCCATATTTTGACACTTTCTAAACTTTCAATGAACCTTGAAATCATTTTATCATTCGTTGTCTAAAATTGTTCGTAGATGACACTTTGACAGTTGAAGTTCTGTTGTTTTATATATGACAGTTCTGAAATTTGACAACATCTTTAGTCACTTTTGACATTTAAGTTTGTCTTCATTATTTCATACACAAAGTTACTTCAAGTTGACATTATCGTTTTTGACAAATGACAGTTTAAATTTTTAGAATATTCAAGCTTTAAAATTTTTGACAATTAAAGTTTGATATTAAATTTTCAGATGTTTCTAGTTTATAAAGTTTCCTAATTATTGAAGCTGCTGACAGTCAAAAATTTTGACAATTGTTGATTCCAAATTTTGACACTTTCTCAACTGTCACGTTCAGTTTTGATTTTCTTTGGTTGCGTAGTCTTGACATAGTATTGCAAAAGTACTCAGAAACAATGAACCTTGAAATCATTTTTATCAGTCGTTGTCGAAAATTTTTCATAGATGACACTTTGACAGTTGAAGTTCACTTGTTCGATATGTGACAGTTCTGAAATTTGACGACAACATCTTTAGTCACTTTTGACATTTAAGTTTGTCGTCATTATTTCATACACAAAGTTACTTCAAGTTGACATTATCGTTTTTGACAAATGACAGTTTAAATTTTTAGCATATTCAGGCTTTAAAATTTTTGACAATTAAAGTTTGATATTAAATTTTCAGATGTTTCTAGTTTATAAAGTTTCCTAATTATTGGAGCCGTTGACAGTCAAAAATTTTGACATTTGTTGACTCCAAATTTTGACACTTTCTCAACTGTCACGTTCAGTTTTGAATTTCTTTCGTTGCGTAGTCTCGACATAGTATTGCAAAAGTACACAGAAACAATGAACCTTGAAATCATTTTTATCATTCGTTGTCTAAAATTGTTCGTAGATGACACTTTGACAGTTGACAACATCGTTAAGTCACTTTTGACATTTAAATTTGTCCTCGTTATTTCACATACAAAGTTAGATTATTGTTTTTGACAAATGACAGTTTATATTTTTAGCATGTTCAAGCTTTAAAATTTTTGACAATTAAAGTTTGACATTAAGTTTTCGTTTCTAGTTTACAAAGTTTCCTAATTATTGAAGCTATTGACAATCAGAAATTTTGACATTTGTTGATTCCATATTTTGACACTTTCTAAACTTTCAATGAACCTTGAAATCATTTTACCATTCGTTGTCTAAAATTGTTCGTAGATGACACTTTGACAGTTGAAGTTCTCTTGTTTGATATGTGGCAGTTCTGAAATTTGATGACAACTTCGTTAAGTCACTTTTGACATTTAAATTTGTCCTCGTTATTTCACATACAAAGTTACATTATTGTTTTTGACAAATGACAGTTTATATTTTTAGCATGTTCAAGCTTTAAAATTTTTAACAATTAAAGTTTGACATTAAGTTTTCGTTTCTAGTTTACAAAGTTTCCTAATTATTGAAGCTATTGACAGTCAGAAATTTTGACATTTGTTGATTCCATATTTTGACACTTTCTAAACTTTCAATGAACCTTGAAATCATTTTACCATTCGTTGTCTAAAATTGTTCGTAGATGACACTTTGACAGTTGAAGTTCTCTTGTTTGATATGTGACAGTTCTGAAATTTGATGACAACATCGTTAAGTCACTTTTGACATTTAAATTTGTCCTCGTTATTTCACATACAAAGTTACATTATTGTTTTTGACAAATGACAGTTTATATTTTTAGCATGTTCAAGCTTTAAAATTTTTTACAATTAAAGTTTGACATTAAGTTTTCGCTTCTAGTTTACAAAGTTTCCTAATTATTGAAGCTATTGACAGTCAGAAATTTTGACATTTGTTGATTCCATATCTTGACACTTTTTCAACTTTCACGTTCACTTTTGATTTTCTTTCGTTGCGTAGTCTTGACATAGTATTGCAAAAGTACTCAGAAACAATGAACCTTGAAATCATTTTTATCATTCGTTGTCTAAAATTTTTCATAGATGACACTTTGACAGTTTGAGTTTTCTTGTTTGATATGTGGCAGTTCTGAAATTTGATGACAACATCATTAAGTCCCTTTTGACATTTAAGTTTGTCCTCGTTCTTTCATATACAAAGTTACTTCAAGTTGACATTATTGTTCTTGACAAATGTGTGGCGAGTCACCTCTTCTTCAGCCACCGGACATACCATTACTATTATTATTTTTGCTTTTATCTCGTTGTTGCGGTGGATTATCGTCAGAATTCTCCCGAACACCATCATCAGCTAATTAAATCGTCCGTTCTCCAATATTTCAGCGACTTTATGTGACAATGGGCAATAGAAGTCTCCTCCGATAAGTCGTGACGTCACCGCGTTGAGTTATGGGCGCCATAAAGTTTTTTCTCGGCTTGCAGCATCAGGGACAGCGCGCTCTTGACTAATCGGAAAATGTTTAAAGGCCGTCCAGGGCCGGCTGCGATTATGGCCCGGGAACTAATTAGCTCCGAGCGGACAAGAAGTCGCCATCAATCACGCGAAACGAATGTTTTGCGGGAAAGTTTGACGGATGAGTGGCGCCATTTTCGCCGGCTTTTGTTCACATGGGCGCAGATGGGTCGATTAGAAAGTCTCCAAGAGGAACAATTGGCATAAATAATGCGAATTAGCATTTTCGAGTAGTAAGTGGATGCGTTACCTTCAAGCCTGAATGGAGTTTATTATAATGAGGTACGGCGATAAACACGTTTTATGGTGCGAGATTAGAAAAAAAATTCAGGTGTTGTTGTTTGGTGGCTTGAAAAACAAACTTTTTTGGCTTCTCGAGCATAATTGCGCGATATTGAATAATTGGCAGGTACGGGTTCAAATTAAGGTTTCCTCTTCTCGTAAATAACCATTGAAGAATTCTAACCATGCTGCTACCGAGTGTAATTGATAGGTTTCGACTGTGGCCGCGAGCGCCGTTTTAGGCCGGATTTATTCAAAATGTATTAAATTTAACTATAGGCTAGCATTTTTCCTCAAATAACTTGTAATTTGAATTAAGTATGAGTTGCTTAATTCTGGCCATGTGGGACCGCGGGCATGCCGTAAATCTCGCTAATCGGCCACCACCACACTCCCCGCCTTTGTTAGTTTGACGACTTGTATAACCGTATTCTCCGTCTTTCCAGGTGTGGTTCCAGAACAAGCGGTCCAAAGAGCGCCGCCTCAAGCAGCTCACGTCCATGGGCCGCGGCCCGTTCTTCGGGGGTTCCCGGAAGATGCGCGGGTTCCCCATGAACCTGTCGCCCGGGGGGCTCGAGGACGGCCCGCCCGGTTTCCCTTATTTCGCCACCGCCGACGGCAAGTTCGAGTTCAGCTACGGCGGGCCGCCCTTCCACCCGCACGACGGGCCCTTTTTTCCCGGCCACCACCCCGGCGGCGGCCCCGGCGGCCAGGGCATGCCCTTCAACCAAGGAGGTACTAACCCCACCCCCAACCGAACGCAATAATTCCCTTTCGTTTCAAGGTGGACCCATGGACCACGGGCCCATGAACATGGGCGGCGAGTTCGCCGGCATGCCCGGCGAGCAGGGCCAGTTCATGCCGCAGCAGCCCGCCCCCGAGCAGATGATGCAGGGCGGCGGCGGGCGGGGCGGCAGCCCCGAGTTCATGTCGCCGGGATCGTTCTCCGACAACCCGCAGCAGCTCAACGAGGGGCTCGTTTGGTAGCTGGCGAAGGCTCTAGCCAAGAGGGCTAGAGAGTAACTGTACATAGAGCCCGGTGATTTCGGTGGTACCGAACTGTTTCTTTTCGACGCCCATGATGTGCAATTTAACCACGTGTATGTTTCTTATTATTAACGTTATTTGTTCATGGTCCTATGATGGTTGTACATACTTCTTTGCTTTTGCTAGGATTGACGAGAACACCTTGTACATACTGTTTTTGGTTATGTATGACGGTACCACGACACACTTGATTTGCGTGAAAGCAAAGAACACTTCTGAAAGTGCCAAGCGGGCGCAGGCTGGGGGGCGCCCGGGTACAGGGCCGCACCCGAGACTGCGCGTTACTCGATTGTTTTATTTATACACACACCACATTGTACTATTTATGAATGTATAAAAGGTTTCCTAGCTTTTAAAGTGCTTGTATATAAATCGAAGGACGGTTGATATGTTATTATGTTTTCATTAGGCCTAGCTGTCGTACAAAATATTTGTACAGGGACTTGACACGCTGTATAAAAGCCATCCGATTATATAATTAGTGTATATTGTTAATTTTAGGTGTACTATCCAATAAAACAAATTCTATAAGGGTCTTTGTTTCATTTCGCAGTAACCGGTTATGGGACCACTACATATACATGAAGTCAAGAATCAAGATACCCACGTATAATAAAAGCACAAAGAACCACAAAAAATACCATTTTGAACCTGCTTTAAGTTTCCAAGAATAAAAAAAATCATCACAATTGAGATGGGGTGGGTGGGCGGGGTTTATATATTAATTTTAACACGAATCTCAAAAACATGTTTTTAATTTCTTCAAAAAAAATAAGTATTTTGCAGTTAAACTCCGCCCCCTTGGCCATTTTGACCATGTTTTCAGTTTCTTGTTGTGAAAAGATGGCTATGTATATTAAGAAAAAAAATGCAAAATATAAGCCCCGCCCACCCACCCTGTCTCAATTGTGATGATTTTTTTATTCGTCGTGAGTCAAGAGGGGCGGAGTTTAATTGCAAAATCCTTATTTCTTTACAAGAAATAAAAACTGTGGACGTCTTCCACGTACACCAAGTTAAAAATTTTTAAAATAATCTCAATCCGGTCCTGAAAAAATAAGCAACATTTTAAGTCAATATAAAGTCTAATAGTTGTCGCGATGAGTAGAAAAAAAGATTTAGAACCTCTGGAACATTGAGAATCAGAATATCAGGATTTTTTTGGATTTTTGGAATCTTTGGAATCTTGGCAATCTCCAAATTTGTCAGAAGTTTTGGTATTTTAGTTTTTGATGTCTTGGGAATTTCTATTCTCTGAAATCCTTGAAATCTATATAACTTCAGAGTTTTTAGGACTTTCAATCTTCGAAACATTTGAAAAATTAAAAATCTGTAGAATCTCTAGAATCTAAAATTTCTCGAAACGCTCTATAGTTCATAGGATCTGTAGATTACTTAGAATCTAGATTCGTTAGAGTTTCTAAAATCAGTAGAATAAATCAAATCTTCAGAATATTTAGAGGTTCCGGAATCCGTAGTCTCGAAATTTCCGGAATATTTGGAATTTGTGGAATCTCTAGAATCTTTGAAATCTTTACAATATCCGGGAATCTTTTAAAATCTTTGGAATCTTCAAAATGTTTGAAGTCTTCAAAGTCTTCAGAATTTTTGGAATATTTGGTCTTCGAAATCTTCAAAATCTTTACTATTTCTGGAATTTTTAGTCTCGGAATTTCCGTCATTTTTTGGATTTTGTGGAATCTCGGGAAGCTTTGAAATCTTTAGAATATTTATAATCCTTCAAACCCTCTAGAATTTTTGGGATCTTCAGTTTTGGAATTACTCAAAATCTTCATATTCTTTAAAATCTCTGAAATTTCTCCGGTTTCGGAATATCTAAATCTTTGGGATTACTAGAATTTCTAAAACATTTGGAATCTTTATTTCTTCAAAATCTTCAACTCTTCAAAGTCTTAAAAATTTTTGGAATATTTATTTAGTCTTAGAAATCTTCAGAATTTTCAGACTCGCTGGAATCTTTAAACCTTTGGAATATTTATAATTCTGGGAATCTTCAAAGTCTTCAGAATTTTTGTGATCTTCAGCCTTTGAAATATTCAAAATTATCATATTCTTTAGAATCTCTGAAATCTTTTGGGTCTCGGAATATTTAGAATTTTTGGGATTACTGGAATTTCTGAAACTTGAAATCTTTTGAAATCTTTGGAATCTTTTTTGTTCAAAATCTTCCAAGTCCTCAAAATCTTCAAAATCTTGTGAATCTCTGAAATTTCTAAGCTTTGAATATCAAGAAAATTTGGGACTTCTAAAATAACTGAAACCTTTGGAATCTTTATAATCTTCAGAATTTTTTGAATCTTCAGTCTTCGAAATATTCAGAATTTTTAGAATTTGGGGAATTGTGGAATCTCTGGAATCGTTGAAATCTTTAGAATATTCATAATCCTAAAAATTTTCAAGGTCTTCAGAAGTTTTGTGATCTTCAGCTTTCGAAATATTCAAAATTTTCATATTCTTTATAATCTCTGAAATATTTCGGTTCTCTGAATATTTAGAAGCTTTGGAATTACTGGAATTTCTCAAACTTGGCTTCTTTTGAAATCTTTGGAATATTTTTTGTTCAATATCTTCGAAGTCTTCAAAATTTTCAAAACCTTTAGAATCTCTGAAATTTCTAAGCTTTGAATATTCAGAAAGTTTGAGATTTCTAGAATAACTGAAACCTTTGGAATCTTTATAAACTCCAGTCTTCGAAATATTCAGAATCTTTAGAATTTCTGAAATCTTTAGTCTCGGAATTTCCGTAATTTTAGAATTTTGTGGAATCTCTGGAATATTTGAAATCTTTAGAATATTCATAACCCTGAAAATCTTCAAAGTCTCCAGTTTTGTGACCTTTGAAATATTCAAAATGTTTCTATCTTTATAATCTCTAAAATATTTCGGATCTCGAAATATTTAGATATCTTTGGATTACTGGAATTTGTGGTACTTTTGGAATCTTTTGAAATCTTTGGAATCTTTTGAAATCTTTGGAATCTATTTCTTCAAAATCTTTGAAGTCTTCACAGTCTTCAGAATCTTCTAGAATCTCTGAAATCTCTAGGCTCTGAATATCTAGAATCTTTGGGATTTCTGGAATAACTGAAACCTTTGGAATCTTTATAATCTTCAGAATTTTTAGTATCTTCAGTGTTCGAAATATTCAAAATGTTCATATTCTTTAGAACCTCTAAGATCTTTCGATTCTCGGATATTTAGAATTTTTGGAATTACTGGAATTTCTGAAACTTGGACTCTTGAAATATTTGGAATTTTTTTGTCCAAAATCTTCGAAGCCTTCAAAATTTTCAAAATCTTTAGAATCTCTGAAATTTCTAAGCTTTGAGTATTCAGAAAGTTTGGCATTTCTAGAATAACTCAAACCTTTGGAGTCTTTATAATTTTCAGTCTTCGAAATATTGAGAATCTTTAAAATCTCTGAAATTTCTCCGATCTCAAAATATCTAAACCTTTGGGAATACTAGAATCTCTGGAATCTTTGAAATCTGCAGAATATTCATAATCTTGGGAATCTTCAAAGTATTCAAAATTTTTGCGATCTTCAGTCTTTGAAATATTCAGAATTTTCATATTCTTTAGAATCTCTGAAATCTCTCCCCGGAATCTAGGATCCTGAAATCTGGAATCTTAGTATAGTATTCCACATTAAGAAATCTGGATCATAGAATTCAAGAATTTGAGACTTTCTAGTATCTTCACAGCAAGAATCTTGGGATCTAGAATTTTAGATTCTAGAATTTTGGAATCTGGAAGTCTAGAATTTTGGAATGTATAATCTGGAACATTGGGATCCAGAATCTTGAAATCTAAAATCTGGCATCTAGAATTTGGATTATCAGAATCTAATCCCGTAATGTAGAATATCGGAATCGAAAACCTCGAAATCCTGTAGTCAATAATCTTGGAATCTAAAATCTTAGAATCTAGGATCCTGGACTCTAGAATCTTAATATTTAGAAGCTTGTAATTTCAAAACTAAAATGTAGAACTGAAAGTATATAATACATTAAGAATTCTGGATCATATAATTCAAGAATTTGAGACCTTCTAGAATCTTGGCATCAAGAATCTTGGGATCTAGGATCTGGAACTCTAGAATCTCTGAACTTAGAATCTAGAATATTTTAATCTAGAATCTATGAATCTATAATTTTAGATTGTTATATTTTATGGGATCCAGAGTCTTGACATCTAGAATCTTAGAATGTAGAATCTTGGAATCCAGAATCTTGAAATCTAAAATCTTGGAATCTAGAATCTTAGAATTCAGAGTCGGTATCTAAAATTTTGGAGTTTACAATTTGCACTCTCGGAATCTAGAACCTCGAATCTAGAATCCCATAATCTAGAATCTCAAATCTTTGATCTTGAAATCTAGAATTTTAGTATTTAGAAGCTTGGAATTTCAAAACTAAAACGTAAAACTTAAAATGTATTACACATTAAGAATTTTGGATCATAGAGTTCAAGAATTTGGGACGTTCTAGAATCCTGGCATCTAGAATCTTGGGATTTAGAATCTTGGAATCTCGAAATCTAGAATCTCTAAACTTCGGATCATGGAATCTATGATCTAGAATGTTGGGATCCAGAATCTAAAATCTTGGAATTCAGAATCTCGGAATCTAGAACGTCGAATCCCGTGATCTAGAATACCGGAATCTAAAATCTCGGAATCCTGTAGTCTATAGTGTTGGAATTTAGGATCTCGAAATATACGATCCTGAAATCTAGAATGTTAGTATTTAGAAGCTTGGAATTTCAAAACTACAACGCAGAACTTAAAATGTATTACACATTAAGAAATCTGGATCATTGAATTCAAGAATTTGAAACTTTCTTGGCATCAAGAATCTTGGGATCTAGAATTTTAGATTCTAGAATCTTGGAATCTGGAAATTTAGAATCTTAAGATTGTATAATCTCGAATATTGTAATCCAGAATCTTGGAATCTAAAATCTGGCATCTAGAATTTGGACTATCGGAATCTAATCCCGTAATGTAGAATATCGGAGTAGAAAACCTCGAAAGCCTATAGTCCATGATCTTGGAATCTTTTTAGAAGCTTGTAATTTCAAAACTAAAACGTAGAACTGAAAGTGTGTGACACATTAAGAATCTTGAGATAAAGAATTTGGAAATCTAGAATCTTTGAATCTATAATTTTAGATTATTATCTTGGAGTCTTTTGAAATCTTTGGAATCTTTAATTCTTCAAAATGTTCGACTCTTCAAAGAACTCTTAACAATTTTTGGAACATTTAGTCTTCGGAATCTTCAGAATTTTTAGAATCGATAGAATCTTTGAAATCTTTGGAATATTTATAATTCTGAGAATATTCAAAGTCTTCAGAATTTTTGTGATCTTCAGCCTTTGAAATATTCAAACTTTTCATATTCTCTAGAATCTCTGAAATCTTTGGGGTCTCGAAATATTTAGAATCTTTGGGATTACTGGAATTTTTAAAACTTGAAATCTACCTTTTTTTCAAAATCTTTAAAGTCCT